CTTTAGTAGGACTAAGCAGGGAATGTTGCCTGATTCCTGCATGACCAAGTAAGCACTAAGAAACTCCCACCCCCTCTTTGTAATAATAATAATAATAATAATAATAAAAGGAATGGAAAACATGAGGAATTGCTGTTAATAGCTCCTTACATGTAAGTACATGGTTGGCAGAACCTAACTAAAATAGGGCCAAGAGCCAGACTTATTGTGCAGCTTACGTATGTAGATTTTGTAACCATAAGTCAATGTTAAAACATTAAAAACAGGATTTTGAAGTGTGTAATGGAAAGTTTTAAAGTATGCTTGCTTTGCTTTCCTCTAGCCTGGGAATTTGGAGGAAGAAAAAGTTTCACTTAGGAAAAAGAGTTGCCCTGTGTTTGTTTTGTTTTTTTAGGGTCCTGTTAAGCAGCAGAAATAGCACTTGGGTAGCTATTTCTCCAAATGTCAAATTCTACAGAAAGAAAAATATATCTGAAAGTATTTAGGAAAAAAAAAATAGTCATCAGTGATGCTGACATCACCATGTCTTTCCCCATCAAGATGTCAAGTTCTAACTTGCTTCGGTGCTTGCCGCACCTTCGAGAGCAAGCGTGATGCAAAACCAGTCAGTGTTTGAAAGAAGCCTAGAGCAGCTCTCGGGTTATCTTGGAAACAAATCCAGATGGCAATCAAGGTTATACCCTGCAAACTCAACAGGTCTCTGCTCTTAGGAAAGCAGTTGTTCAGGCATGGTAGTTTCCAGAGTTACTGTATATCATAGATACAGTGAATTCTTTAGGCATGTACAGCTTTATAGGAAAGCTGGAGTAATATCAGAGTTAAAGTATAGGTTAAATACACTCTTTTTTTTTTTTCCTCTTAAGAGGAAACTGAAAAAAGAGAAATTAGTTTGATAAATTTTAAATATTAACATTTAATATGGAAATAATGTAATTGCTATCGCTTTGATTCTCCCACCAAAGTTCTTGATTAGAAATATAAAATTGGGAGTTGTGTTCCTAGCCATTTTGGAGGTGATAGCTCAGCTCATGGTGTATGTGGGAGGTTTTGGTGCATTTGCAGAGGTGACAGATGTAGTGCAACATTAAAGCCTATTTCTTCCTGACCAGCTCTGGAGTAAGCTGCGGAAGGCATTAGCCAGTTCTTCTGAAAGAAGCAAGAGGGAATTCTTACATGGTGATTAATATTCCCTTTGAATGAATGCGATTCTAGTATTTCAGGGTGTAGGTGCAGTGCCAAGTCCACAATGGCTGTTGCAGACACAGAGTAACCACACTCCCGTTCCCAGACCGCTATTGATGCTGCTGTTTGTTTTGCAGAAGATGAATGACCTTTCCCTGAAGGGCAAAACATCCTATTGCAGTATTGCTTTCCATAAAAACATAGATTAGGACACTAAACTGCTGGAAAAGAGGAATTCCCACTCACTTGTAGTCTGTATTGACTTCATTAGTATCAGTGCTTTCCCTCAGGGTGATTTTCTTTCTTCTGTTTCTTGATGACTTTTCTCAAGACTTAATAATGTCTGATTTCCTCTGTGGCAGCCAAAGTAAGTAGCTTTCTTTTCAGTCTGAACTGAAAGCAGAGGGTGAGGGGATCTGTCAGTACCTTATTTCTAGACATAAATAGGTGCAGGATAAAAAGAGCCCTTTTTCCAGGACTTGTATTCCGCTTTGTTTGGACCTTCTCCTTTTATCTGTCAGTGAAATGGTCATCAGGCTCTGCAGCCTGGCTCCGCTTTGACCTAGAGCCTTTACTGTCTCTGTTTTAGCAACATCAGCTATATTCTTTCTTGGCATTTCTATAGTCTTAGAAAAAAAATTTAAAAAAGAAAAACTGTGATATTTGCCTTTTTCTTTTAAGTACTTATTCCCACTCTAACCTGACATACAACTTCCAAATCTCATTGTAGTCCTTGGCAAAGGAGTCTTGGAGGACTAATTGCACTACAGCTGCCTGTTGTCAGTTGAAGATTGCGCAGTGTAATTTAAATAGTTATTTTATTGCATTCTGTCACATTTATCCACTGTGTATTGTTCTTTCTGAATGTACCTGCCTATAATTTATCTGCCAAGGAGGCTAAATTACTATACCTAGCAAGAGCCAAGTCATCGTAAGCATGGAGATATGCAGTGTGCGTCAGGCTTGTATAGAACCAAATTTGTAAATGCGGTTGCTTTTTTTTTTAAACAGGAATCTTGACCTTACTCAGCAATTTCTTCTTTTTTTTTCAGTCTTATTTTTATTTTCAGCATTCTTGGTCAATACACTGTCCTGAGATTAGACGTTTGTTCTCATTAGTGAAAAAAAAAAAAAAAAAAACACTGTGCATAAGCAACCTAAGTTGGGCCTTCAACTTCAAAAATTTCAAAATTATTTAGTTCACAAAAGCATTGAATCCAATATGTTGATGTGTAGCTAGTGACTTTCAATGTCATTTTTTTCGTGTAAGATGTTACTTGTTTACTGATTTAAAGAATTTGTTGAGGAATTGATAACTGTAAAGTTAGAGCTACAGATAGGTAGTAGGTGTAATATATAGTATGTTGTTTAATATCCAGATTAACAGTATAAATCAAGCTACCTGTTTCTCTGGTTTTTGAAAAGAAGACTCAAACATTATGCTGTTATTTTTGTAATCTACAGCTGCATAGTTTAAAGTATTGGTGAAGGGAAGCTGAAATATTATCTATATTACTCTGTTTATGCCCAAATTGTTTTAATTTATCTTAAGGCTTAATGAAGAAGCTGGAAGAGGAGATAAAATTCAATTCATATCTGGCTACTGAAAAAGTACCTAGAGAGCTCGAAAGTAAGAAGAAATCATTGTATTTCTTACAAAAGGTGGTTGCAGAGCCAGCTATGAGCCAGTCTGATCTCAATGTGCTTGAAATCAAGGTAAGCTGACCAAAGGCAGAGCTATATCTGATCTCTATCGATCAGAGGATGATTTACGTGTGGAGCTATTAAGGCTGTCACCCACCATTCTTCATCTCCATCAACATGCTGATGGCCTGAGCGTTCACTTTCCTGTTGTGTGTCACATTAGTGCAATAAAGAAATCCCTGCAAGTTTCCTGGATGTTTCTAGACGAGAATCAGCAGCCAAATGCCAGCAAGAATATGTTAAAATTTAAGGTTAAGCCTATTTATCATAAAAGTAAAACCAGTGACAGCTCAATGCCCCTCTGGATCCTGATCATTATGTTTTTAAGGATCAGAGGCTTATTAAACTGTAGATTAGACCTGAAACATTAGACCAGCTCTGTAATTCAACCTCTGCTTTAACTGCGTATTTCTTCTGAGCAAAACAATATCTGTGGTTGAAGTAACTTCTTTAAGACGTAGTTGAGGCCCTGCTTTGCACCCTTCTTTTCCAAGTGTATCATTCAGTTGTGGCAATATTTTAAGAGAATCGAGATTTTTTTTTCCCCAGTGAGGTTCCCTTTTAATTTGTTTTTTTTTGGAAGCCTGTCCATTATTATCTAATAGAAGCAGGCTGTATAGCTGACTTTTACCACAGCACGGCCTTTGACAGCATTCTTTTTGAGTCCGTCTTTTATTATCTGAATGTTTGAAAAAGGAACTGAGTTGCACTAAGCAAGCTAATATCATGCATTTTATAATATATAAAACAGGAATATTCACAGGACGGAATCCATAAACCGTCTTCAGATTCAGACCTATTCTAACACTGATAGGTTGGTTGAAAAAATAAAAGAGAATTTATTAGAGAGATTTTTTTCAGATGTTCTTATGTTTGAAATATTTAGCTTTCAAAGTATACAGGTATTACTGGCAGAAATATTAAGGTAATTCTCAGGACTGTGCCTGTATTATGTTTAAAATTAATTGGATTTCAGCACATTTTTACACTCCTTAGCTCTCATCTAGCTAACAGAGAATTAAAGAAAGCTTGCTTGGGCTTTTGTTTCCATGGCTGAAGAGAGTCCCAGTGTACCATTAAGTAGGAATTGGAAAAGCTGGAAGCAGTAACTGCTCTAGTTGTTCATTAGTTTCCAGATGCAGCAGGTTCTAAAGCTTCTGCTAGAAAGAAGATCAAGACTTCAAGAATATGGGCAAACAGCTGCATTTTGTGGCAGTAGAAAGAATGTACCTCAGAGCTGGAATATGGCAGTCTGGGAATCTTCAAAGCATAGGTGAAATTTGCTGTCACTTAGTCTTAATCTGATTCTCTTTAAAATAGTCATATATAGTTTGGTGAAAAAGAATTTTAGCAAATGTATATGACAACATCACTCTTTTCTCTATCTCTGTATAGCAATTTACAGGCAGTTCCTGTCTGTTTTCAGCCACTCACTTCCTTTTCAGGGCCAATGTCATGCTTCTGCAGGCCTTATCATAAGGGCACAGAACTGGAAAACTCAAAACATAGCCTCTTCCTGAACAATCCTGAGTGACTCGCCGAGTTTGGGGATTTTGTTTCTCTGTTTGAGAAATTGAACTAGTGCTAATACTAATATTTCCTTATAGTTGCATTTGGTTTGCAAAACATTTGATTTTTCTTGGCGAAAACAAAGAATAAAGCTTTATTTCCTTAGTTTTCTACTCTGTCTTCCAGATAAATGAAGTAAATGCACAAATTAATCAGCTTATTGAGAAGAGAATGATGAAGTATGAGCCAATTGATAGTAAATTTTCCATGTATCGTCAACAGGTAAGAAGCAACAAAACATTTTTAAAGTGAAACCATTAAAGCAATTTTAGTCTTTGATTGAATGTTTTATTTACTGCTTTTTTTTCCCTTCAATTTCTTTTTGCATGAATCAGCAGACATAAATAGTAATAGTAGACAAAAAAACCTAAATAAATAGCACTTGAATATATGTATGCTTAAGGCTTACTCGGGCAATTGCTTTGAGTGGTGTTAGTGAGTTTGTATTAAATGCTACCCTTACACAGATAGATGTTGTCCTTCAGCTGCATCCCAGTAATTCTGGAAGGGTTGTTCTGGTGGAGCTATTTTGGTAAAGCTCCAGCTGTGGACAGATTCTTAGAAAACAGCGAGTGGGCTGACTGCTGCAGACAGACCTACATGCAAGGCTCACTTTCAGTTTTGTTACTTGCTTGTGATTGGTCACGTGCTATTTTCCTGCTACTTCTATTAAGAAGGTATATTTTGCTTTTTATCTTAAGGTTATGAAATAGTCCCTTTATAAAATAGGCTATCTGGTCTAGCCTTAGCAAATTTGCAAGTTCTAAAAAGGATTTGTGAAATCTGAGGTTTTCAGAGTTTACACAGAAATACGTGGGTTTTTTGGGGTTTGTTTTGTTTTCCGCAGCCCATATAGCTGTTAATTTTATGGAAGTTTCTCCTGATAGTGCTTATGGTTACAATTAGGGGGAAAAAAAAAAAAGGTTTAGGTAAGATATATCTGTAGGAGGAAAAAACATGTAATAAAACATGTGCTACCGTTCAATAGCAAGTGCAATTTGAAACATGCAATTTTGTTTTGTAAGACGTGCATTTCTTCCCTGAAGATTAACCAAGCTAAACAATGTGCTAGTACAAAAGACCAACTGGCTTGTGATACAGTTATGATGTTCAGTGGAAGAACTGCTCCAGGAATTGAGGTTTCCTTGTGAGGTGAAAGCATACGATGGTCTTTGCTTTGCCCTGCTAGGGACTAGCCCGTTTCACACGTTAATCGTATATATTGTACCACAGTTTGTCACTGCAGATAACTCACATAGCAAATTGCTGAGATGCTACTCTAGGCAGAATTGTCTATTAGATATATTTTTAGAAATAAAGCTGGTCCTTTTAAACTACTGTAAGAAAGCCGTTCCGTAGTTTGCTTCATTTTTTTTTTCTCAAGTTTTTCCTTTCATACAAAGAACTGACCATGTGTCTAAATTCATGTATTGTGTTACTTAACAATATTTTTAAATAATATATTTCAGTAAGACTATAATGTTTATTTTCTTCTGAATTAACTTCGATTTAGTTTCCTAAATCCATTAATCTCCTGCTTAAATGTTAGCCACTACTATTTATTCTGTCTGCTGTACTTTTTATTAAATATTTTTTTTTCTTCTAGATTCAAAGAAGTGAATTAATCTGCAATCTGCAGTATTTCTATAGTGTATTGCTTTATTGCTTGTGTTTTAGCTATTTGCTAAGATTTAATGCCTAGGTTCTGCTGTTAGTACAACATATTTCTGTAGGTTGGAGTAGGTTGGAGTTATAAAAATCTGTATTATGACATTTGTGAAATCTTGGATACCTTTCCAATTAAGTGCTATGTTGGTATATCTTGCATATGCACAAGAAGGGGCTAAGTAGATGAAATGGAACAGCTAAAATGCATGCTCCTTTTTTTTTTCAATGCAAATTTAAAAAATGAGGAGAAGGATTGAATATGTAAAATGTAAAATATATCATTATGAACCTGGGGAAGTAGACATATGGATGAAATCTCAGTTCTGCTGAAGAAAGTTGGGAATTTGCAATCCACTTCAATGAAGCTGTGATTTAACCCACTCTACATAATGTGAAATTGTTGTGTTTTTCTTTGCAGAAATATGCTCGCATTTATTAATGAAAGTCAGTTTCATGTAGCTGAGATATCATTTTCAGTGGTGCCCTTCCTGAAATTTAACGGATTATGTGTTGCTAAAGATTAAATGGGGCTGAGCAAGTGCAATTTTTATTTTACTTGTCTATGTACATTTCTAATGATCACACAGGCATCTATAATTTCCCGGAAAAAGGAAGCCAAGGCAGAAGAACTTCAGGCTGCTAAGGAAGAGATGTCCAACACTGAGAAGCAGATGCAGCAGAAGACAAATCAGGCCCGGGAATTAGAGGGCTCCGAAGTTTTGAAAGGGGATGAGGTATGAAAAATAACAGTGTATACAAGAAAGAGGGAATTTGTAATAGATGGATCTATTCTTGCTTACTCACCATTTCCTTTTAACTTTACCTTGTAGTAACTGCTTCTACAGTATCTTATCATTTTTTATAGTATGGTGTCAAATTACATGGCCTCGGCATTGCAACAGCTTAGTTTTTGCTTTTCTTATGCAGAATAAGTTAGACTTCGATTACAAAAAAGTAATTTGTAGATTTTTTTCTTTTGAAGTGCATATAGTACAGTGCTGTCCAGTGCTTTCCAGTGCTTTTCAGTATATATACCTGAAATAATACATAACAGTTTGTGTAAAAGTATGTGAGTACTTAATGTTGGTCCATCTTAATATTCCAGGGTCAAAATGATATCATTGTAATGGTATGATGATAAATAACTTTGACAAACTATAAAGGTTAAAGATTAATGATAAGAACAGGACTACTACTTCAAGCAGTAAGCCATGTGGATTGATTTTGTTATTAGGTGTGCATTACTATGTGTCCTTTCTTTGATACATGATTGAAAAGCAAAATGACAGCAGTTATTGGTAATGCAGCTAGTCCTGATGTATTTATTAGCCACATAGGTTTTTACTCCAAAAATGTTTTCACAGACCCTCCTGAAGTTTACCTGTGAGACAGATTTTGACTAACGTAATAGGCTTAGCTCAAGCAAAATTTTATTTGAAGCTGTTCTCATGAAAACAGCTTTTTCTTCATCAAAAGTTTTCAGAGAATAAGGCTGCTGGAGCTGGGTAATGACGTGTCCTCGAAATCAGTCGACCTTCTGAAGACAATACATTTTCTCTGTTTGGACGGAGCCTGTTGAGGCTACTTGCCGGCAGAATTGCTAAAGCAGAGCAAATCAGCTGCATCATTGCTTGAGTTAGTGTATCTTTTTATCCTTCCACATATCTTTTCATTTGTACTCATCGTTTATTAAGACTTACACTCTTTTCTTTCTTTTTCTTTGCCTGTTTCTGTGTTTTTTTTTTTTTAACCTACTACTGGATACAGGGAACACCCTTTGTAAAAGGAACTCCCTTCCTGATCCTTTTGGAAAGCGTGCTGCGCATAAATCAGTTTTCTTTTAAAGGGAACTTACTGAGCAAATCAAGTATGGAAATAGGTATGTGTAGACCCTTGCATAAAGGATCCTGTATAACACAGAAGACACAGGACTCTTGTGCTGCTGTGTTCATACTGTCTTCCTGTGATTCCTTCTTGTCTTTAGCCCCTTCTGTAAATCAAGATGAAAACAACAGGTGGAAACAGTAACATAGAGACTTACTACCTAGGCTGTGTTTAGAACAGTGAAGATCTCTCTCTTTTTTTTTTCCTCCAATTAAATACTCTTGTTAGCAAGATTTCAGTAAATCTTTGAAGAATTAAGACTTTAGACTTTGATCTACTACTTGTACTGTGACGTATTGTACCCTTTTATTGTGTTCCACAGCTGGCAGTAATAACAAATTACTGGATTGGATTTCTGTCCACGACAGGCTTTTTAACCCCAGTTTGCACCTTGCTAGAGTCTTTGGCAACTTTTTAAATAAAAAAAAAAACAGAAAACAAGCGATATGTGCTTCATGACATATAATGGGAAAGAAATGTCTAACTAATCAACAACATTGCATTAGAAAGACAGCAACATGTGTTTTACATTATCTGTCAATGCACTGTAATGTAAGAGATACTTCATATTGTGCCTATTCTTGAGAGGGACAACTTGCTCTGATTCATTTGCTGTTAGCTAATACAGTAATTCAAGGTGAGAAGGGTAGGTGGGAAAAGTGGTTACGCAACCTAGAGGCTTGATAATGAAAAATTCATCTTTATTCGGGGAAGTGGCTCAAGCTAGAAATAAAGGAAGAAGAGACCTGTTCTGAACATAACCCAGCTTCCTTTTATTGAAATACATTCTGCCTTTGACTTTTAAAATCTTTTAAGGTCTTTATTTTGAAGACCGGAGACTAAATGGCTGAGCACTCTGAGCAAAACCATCTACTTAAAATAAGATGCTTTTTTTCAAAAAGTATTTTCTGTTTGGTAAAATACTATCTGTAGATTGTCCCAAAGGAGACAATACTAAAAAAACTGATGTTCTTCCTTTGTTTATTAATTATATTGTAGTAGTGCTCACAGGCGACAGTGTAAAGTGTTTCTTGTGGCTAAAATTGTAGCAAAGGCTTTGGATTTGCTCACTTCATTTTCAGAGGGCTCAGTTTCCTGAGATTATGATGTTTAACTTTTTTGTAGAAGTCTTAAGCTCTGCTGACAAAAATACTGCACAGGAGCTCAGTGCCATAATTTATTTATCTTTCTAAATTACAAGTGACACACATTACAGAAACAATCCTACTTCATAGCCTAAATTATAAGAAGACAGGACTAAGCAATGAGACAAATGAGTCTGTGGGGAAGAGGTGGTGAAGCAAAAGTGAAGTGAGCAAGTTATCTTTTACCAGGAAAGCCTCACTTCATCACTCACCTAGACCACCGTTCTGTCTAAATTTGTTTCTAAGATGATGTGCTTTTAAATTTTTATTTTCTGGGTCACTGCCCTGATACTCCAACTTTGAGCCAACATTGAAGAAAATGCCGCCTTTAACCTATCTAAATTCTACAGTTAAATCAGACTTATTTATCTTCTCTCTCAGCATTTCTCATCTTCTCTCCCTAGCCCTGTTCTACCTTTTACATCATGGCACTCACAAGACCTGGCAATCAAAGAATTAATGCCTTCCTACCTAGCTTGTGCTCCCATACCAGTATTGGGATCTCCAGTTGAGGCCTTCTTAGCACTTCTTTCACCAGAAGGTCAATCCTGGCTTATGTTTTTAGGTGTTAGTGTTTTGCTTTCTTCCCTAGTCATAAACAGGAATGTTACAGCATTCCGCTTGGTTCAAGAGGTTGTTCAACTAGACAGAATTTAGAGCAGGGAGTAACCAGCTCGTTGGACTCCAAACAAAAAATGGTAAGAATATATTGTCTGCTTCGAGGATTATGAAACCTTTTTAAGTACTTCAAACAAAAGTGCAATGAACACGGGGCAAAGTTGGCAAGCTCCTACCTGCAGCTGTCAGATCCTGAAAATTGGGGCATCAAGTGTTGACACTTAGAAGGCTAGATGGTTCAATTACAAGTGATCCTGGGTAAAGCTGTGGTATTTTTAGCTTTTTACACAGCACATTGTACTTTTCAGAGTTCAGTGTAAGGCCCCAAGAGCCTTTTACTTTCCCAGGGTATCAGAGTAGAATAGTGTCATAACTGTGCGTACCAACAATAATTAAAATGAATGTGGGTTTTTTGAGGCTGCAAAAAAATAATAAATTTGTTAACAGATAAGGGGTCCTCATATTAGCTTACATAAGGACTTAGTTGATTTCTTTTCATATAAATGCTTATCCATACATAAAGCAATATGAAAAGTATACAGATTGATACACTTTGAAAGCAGAAAGCAAGAGTCTTGTGCCGTAGATTTTCTTGTCTCTTTTCCTCTGAAACTGTCAAATGAATCTGATTTCACCAGGAAACAGAGACTAAAGAGATGTTTTTTTTTTTTTAAGAGTAATTATTGAAGAACTGACAATTCAAATATTGAATGGTTTAAGCCAGGACTCAGGATATTATCACATCAGTGTGCTACCCTCCTCTTTTCATTAAGAGCCTGGAAACAACTGTATTCCTTTCTGCCACAAACTCCCCAAGCAAGAAAACAGAGGAGTGAATTACAGTTGAGTGTGAGAACAAAGAAGGCAAATCTACAGGATTCTTACAGAAGCCAGAAGCTTTTTACTGCAAGAAGTTAAGCATCACTAAGGCCAAATATATGCAATGATTCAGACATAAAATATAGCTTCACAGAACTGAATGCTCTTTCAGCCCCCACTGGCATGAATAAATCATTAGTTTTATTGATCTATGCATTTTCAGTGATTACTTGAAAATTGTTTTTCATCAAAAATATTTTGATTGGTCCAAATTATTAGTAATGGCTGCTTCAGTATTTCTATTCTGCCCAGAAGCAAGCATGCCTAGAAGAGAAACCCTACTCACAGCTAATGAATAATTTTCCTGATTAATCTTTCTATTGAGCAGACTGTAGCATACTTTAATTTCAACAGACTGAGATAATACTGGTCTTATCTTTTAAAGAGGTGTCCTTCTGTATATGAGTCATTAATCTTATCCAACAGCGGCTGTACTAGCTTAAATCTAGAGTGTCTTAGAAAAGATTACTGAAAACCTGTCATGATTGCGAACTTATCTGAACTGAATTTTAATACTTTGAACAGTGTATATATATATATTAATTGGTCTAGATAGAAAATTAAGCATCTGCTCCTTAATCCTCCAAAGAAATAGAGCTACCTAATACTTAATGTAATTATCCTGATCATGTAAATAATTTTATTGACAAAACTATTTATTTGGAAGCTTCTTCAGATGTTGCACTTTAGAAAGAATTTTTTAAAATATGTCTTATTTTCTTAGGGCTTTCATAAGAATAATATTTTGATTACTATAAAATTACAAATTAATACAGTAATCCTCAAAACACTATTTTTAAAGATTGACTCGAGGGATTAATGTGGGATTTGTTCTTTTCTGAAAACAAGTTTATGATAATCTTGGAATAAGAGTCTCGTGAAACTTTCACGAGGCAAATGTTAATTTAAAGGGAAAGAAACTGTGAGTTTGTAGTGGAAAGCGCAGGGCTGCGTGTTGGAGGAGCTGGGCTTTGATCCCCGCTCAGCACCGCGGCGTGTGGGTAACGCACGGACGGGCCCTCCTCGAGGCTCTCAGCTGCCATTTCAATAGCTTTGATTCCGTTTTGTCATTTACAATTATAATAGTACTTACCTCAAAAAAAAAATGTTGTAGGACTTAATCTGTTGATATCAATAGCTTGCAGGCTGTAATAAATGGAAAAGCATAAACTACTAGCATTGGTGGGTTTTTAATAAAAGATGGAATATAATGCAGGAAATTCCCCAGGGCTGCTTGATACCTGCATGCTTCAGGACAATATATAACAGTATATGGTTTCGTTTATGCTATTTTATAACCTCTTTCAAGCTTTTTGTATTATAGTCACCATAAAAATAGTCAAGTGGAAAAGCATAATATTTCTTTGCTCTCATACGGATAGATTTTGTATCTCAGGAGGCTCTGACTAGGCTAACAAACATGAAGCAAAATGCCTGTTTCATTTGACCACTAACTCAGTGCCAGCATTTGGTTCTTGTCCAGTCATTTAATCTTTGAAGCTTAAATAACTATTTGTGTCAAGTTGCTTGAGAAAGAAAAGCTACTAGTGGACATAGCCCTGAATGGTACTTTATTTGGGTGTTGCCAGATCCATGGGAATTCTGTAGGTTGAAGCCTGCTGAGGTTCTGCGCAGGGAGAAGTTGACCTCAGCTATGGGAAAATGCTGTGGGTCAAAAATGGATTTCCCTGGGGTCATTAACTTGAATTTGATATGGCTAGACAAAGTTATTCTTTTTTTTTTTTTTTGAATTATACTATTTAAAAGTCCTTTTGCTGCAGTAAAATACCATATTTTATACTATTTTAAGGGCATGATTTTTTCATCTGCATCTCAGAGGGAAGAGGGGCTGTTTAAAGCTTCTGAGGTAATGCTTGCACAAATGAAAGCCTTTTTTTGCCAAGCTTATTTATAATTTTGGGATAGTTATGGATTCTCACCTTTAATAAAAGGTTATTAATAAAAATAATAAACCATAAGATACTTCCAAGCTGCTGATTTAAGTGGAGTTAAATCTAATAACTCCAGCTCTTAATTTGGTCCTTGATCTAAAGAAGGCTTCATTTGGTGAGATTTTGTGGGGCTAATCAGTGCATTGCATGCATTTGGAGTAGATAAAATCTTCTGAGAATTTTGCCAAACTGTTGATTCCCATTTTGCTACAGTTGTTGATATCCTGTTTTATCTTGTTTCCTGCAATATAAATTACATGAAAACTTTTTTTTTTTTTTTTGCTTTTTTTAAAAAAACACAGAGGTTACAATCAAAGATAGATGTGTATCTCCAAAAACGCATAGGCTTTAGTCGTCAGTGTAAGCAGCTTGTTGTATAGTTTGGGATGGGATTTTTATTGTAGAGTCCTACCTTAATCAGCTAATAATAGAGCATTGGTAGAATAAGTCCTTTTAATCAACAAGATCCTTTGATTTCCATTGTAAGTTCCATTATACTTTGAATATTGAATATGCAAATACTCTACCTCCCACTCAAGCTATTTTCAAAATCTTTGAAGGAGCTGTGGAAGTGAGGAGAATAATAGTTTACTTTCTATCCTGGGATAAACTGACAGAAAATCACTTAGTTTGATAGCTGTATGTGCTCACATATGAACTAAATTTCTTCCCTTACATCATTCTTTTAGTATATTCCACCAGTCTAGTGAAATGTCCTTGGACTAAGTCCATCGAGACAGCAAACTATGCTTTCCTTAAATTATCTTCAGTTAGTTGGAGAGAATGTATTTATACTTTTTATAGTCTCTTGAAAAATCACAGAAAACTTGGAATTGTCTAAGGAAAACAAAAAAAAGTTTAACTAAGAGAAGGCAGTTGAATTTGCTATAACATTCACGTGAACATTTGCTAATTCATTCTGGTATTAATATATTCAATGTGCCAATAATGTAACAGAGGGTGACACTAATGCTGCCTGGCTGTGCAGTGCTGTGTCTTAGGCGACCTTGTCTCTCCTTGTCCTAGGTAATACACACAATGTCAACGGTATTCCAAAGCCACACATAGTCCAATCTGCATAGAGCACATTGAGTAATTTGTGGGTTTGTTCTTTCACCAAAAACGTTTATAGCTTTTGGCTTTAAAAATAGTTCTGGAGCATAGCAAGAGAGAAGCAGCTTTGGCCTAGATATTGCACAGGATGGCAGATGAACAGGGTTGATTTCATTTTGGGCATTTTGCCCAGGACACTTTTTATAGAACATACAGTTACTCTGGGGGTTCTTCGGCTCTGGTCGCACAGGATTTGGGGATTTATTCTTCAGAAGGGAGTCGCATAGATTTATAGAAAAGGAAAATTCATGTAAATTTCAAAATGTAGGTTTCTGTCATGTCGGAGCTTTCAATTTCTTTCCGTGGTGCTGGGACTCCTGCGTTCTCCCTCAGGCTGCCTCTTCTAGGCTCCTGCTGCACATGCTGCTCCCCTCCTCAGCTGAGAAACATTCCAAAGCCTGTTCCTGCACTATTGACTCTAATACATTTTATTTGTTTTCTGTCTCCTGCATCTGAATACACTTTGTAGCTGTGACTGGCAATTGCCTCTCATCTCTCATGTTAAATATCAGAAGAACCAAGCCTGTCTGGCAGATGGAAAAAAAAAACAAGGCAAAATAAATTATTAGTTGTGTGTTTCAACACCTGGTATTTCAGATGTCTTTCAAATTGTGCACACAAGGATTTCAGATGTAAATTAGCAAAGGGTGTTGATCTTTCAGGCTGTGAATTATTTTGCTTAGTTTTTAATAAAAATGTAAGTTCTCCATTACCTTAGATTTTATGCAAAATTTACTTATGGCAGCTCTCCATTTCTATACAAGGATTCTAATTTTATTTTCCTGTTAAAAAAATCAGCCAGTAATGCCATTCAGGTCTGCAAGAAACACTGAAGGAGAACAATAAACTTTAACTATGGAGAATCAGCGTTAAAAAACAATAATCTTTTCCCATGTTCTCTTCTGATAGTTTTTTAGCACCTTCTTATCAAGTTTCTTGGTCTGCAGGGCTCTTGGGGGCTGGCACAGCTGATCTCCTGTTCTGCTGCAAGTGCAAATTACTGTTACATTAACTTTTTTATTATCCATGATTCTCGGACCATTTTACAAACACTAATTACATTTGCAACTGTCAAATGGGGGTGAGTGAGTGGAATTGAATCATCTCCCTATTACAAATGGGTGAGCTGAGACACAGAGCAATGGAGCTGGTGCTTTTGATCTCAAACAGTGAGCACATGCAGAACTGAAGATAAATAGACTCTGGGAATACTGAATTCCATCCTCTGTTCTAAGCACTTAGTCTTTAGTTCATAGTCCAAATAGGGTAATTACATTGTTTATAGCAACAGTCTGTGGTAAGACCACTTTTTTCTCTTAACTTAAATGACAGGTATTTCTTTCTCATTTCAGTTCAAGCACTATGTTAATAAGCTCCGGAGCAAAAATACGTATTATAAAAAGAAGCGGCTAGAACTGGCAGAAATTACAGCTGAGTATGGTATCCTCCAGAGGACAGAAGAGCTGCTCAAACAGCGCCATGAGGCTCTTCAGCAGCAGTTGGTAATACAAACATGTACCACTCCGGCAGCTCATCACCCCTGCTCTCCTGATAAGCAGCTGGGTGATGAGGTGGATGTTATTTGGGTATTTTCTAAGGTGTTTCATCCTCAGCTTTCCTGCCTCATTGGTAAAAGACTGGAGTTAAAAAAAAAATGTTTTTGTCTATTGGCTATGTCAAGCTGCTGTTTTTCCTGTGCAGTCGTTGTTTCCTACAGGCTGTCAAATAGGTTCTCCTATTTTATTTTTATTTATTTTTTTATTTTTTTAATGAGAGGTTTGATCCTGCTTCCTGAAGTCAATGGCATTCATTGTCTGATTTAAAATATAACCAGAACTGCTGCCTGGGTACCAAGAACCTAAGCAGTAAAGGGTCTGGACTTTTCCTCCTGATTTTTACTCAGCTAAAAAGAATCTGGATGTCTGTGGATGTGTGTTTTCACTTTAGAAATTGTTGTTTACATATAACCAATGTATACTGGTCGTCACACAATAAAATCACAGCAGAGGAAAAGCCCTAGAAGTTTCTCTTTGAAGTAGATACATGTGGTCACTGGTTTATTCCTGTGCAAGTAATAGCTGTGCAAGAAATAACTGTGCAAGTCTGACTTTTCTAAATGATTTTACTATTTTATAGTAAAACTACCAAGCTTTAATTTCAAAAAGTTCTTACCACCAGAAAAATAGCATGCACTTTTTTTGCAAAGCTGGAAATGTATATATTTTTTTGCCCTGGGCATAGTGCCTTATCAAACTCTATACTGCTATCAAAGTCTACAAAATAGTGCCATCATAGTAGCAGTAGCTATTATGAGACAAAACATTTTCTTAAACATATGCTTGTAAAGCATATTTTGAGGATGATGGACATGGAGTTCATAGATATATATCTCTCTGAAGAAGGAATGTTTTCCTTTTTAGCAAATTGTGGATGTTTAACTCAACACTCAGCTTTCAGTTTACACAAATACTCCCTTTGCATACTCAATGAGCAAGGATTGCTAAACTGTACATTTACAACTAAATGTAAAGTTTTGCTAATGTTAGGTAAGGAGGCTTTAGTATTACTATAATGAATATAGTGTTTTGTTTTGTTTTGTTTTGTTTTAGTTTAGCTTGGCAGTTGTTTATAAAATGATTAGACATTACATCTTCAGATTGAGCACCTGCCCTTTACAAGTTTAACTCATTCAGAACCTGACCCAAAACCTGGTTTATTTGGTAGAAACTTTCCATTAATTTCATTGGGCATCATATGTCCAAATCGTGGTATTACAGAGCATTGTTCCTATCCTATGATAGAAGAGCCAGATAAAGGATTTAGTTGATATGGCAGCTAGATTATTCATGACTTTTAAAATCAGTTGATCACAGTACTTACCTTTCCATTACTGTAGTAATGAACTTACATTTTGCTTTTTTTTCTTATCTGCAGCAAGCTATGGAAGAAAAGAAAGGTATTAGTGGATATAGCAACACCCAGGAGGAGCTGGAAAGAGTATCTGCAGTAAAAAGTGAAATGGATGAAATGAAAGGCCGAACACTAGATAACATGTCTGAAATGGTGATCTTTTTCATAATTCTTTTATTTTTGAAATTTGAAGGTCTCTACAAAGGCAATCTGGAAAAAGCTTACCAAAATGTATATTTCTTTTGTTTTATGAAAAAAAAAAATCTACTTTATTCCTCCCTTCAGAAATGTCAGGGATATCAAATCTTGCTGTTTTTCCTCGTTTTTGATTTGTTTGTGATTTAGTAGGTGTCTTGACGTTTGTTCTTGCACAGTAGTTGAAAGAGAGGAATGTTTAAAATCTTTCATAGTCCTTTTCTAGGGTGTTTTTAAAGCAACTTACTAAGCTGCTCAGGTGTCTAATGCACGGGCTGTCTGCTGGGCTCCTGTGTGAAGTTCTCAGTTCGAGCTATGGGAGCGGTAGTTGCCTATTTTTTGGTGATGACACCACTACAATATGGGCTCCTTCCCTTATTAGCCCTGAACTTTCGTATATATCATATATACATCTTCTTTCATAACATCTTTTCTTCTCTTCATATTTTGACTTTCTTCTCTTTTCACATTCCTAATAATATAAATCTACTATTAATATCATATTATTAATGTCTATGATTTGTCCCTGTACCAGGTAAAAAAACTGAATGCTATGGTGGCAGATAAGAAGTCCAGTCTAGCTCCTGTTATCAAAGAACTGCGGCAGTTGCGTCAGAAGTGCCAGGTTGGTAGAAACACTTTAGGAATACTTTGAACAGAGCTTCTTAAGGAAGTTGTAGGCAGTAGGACAAACTTTAGGAAATACTTGTCTGTTTTTCTCTGGTGTTTTACAAGGACATAATCAACTCCAAAGGAAGCTGGAAATAGCAAAAAAAGTCAAATGTGATATGCAGTAGGCAACATACAGGAGCCTGGAATTATTAAAAGCTGACAGTACAGGCACAAAATCATGCTGAATATTTTGCCCTTTACTGTAAATTTTTAAAAGTTGCTGTTCCGGGAGAAAATTTTTAAAATCGTGGTTCAAAAATGTAGCAAAGTTAGATTCCAAATGGCTGATAGGTGCTGACTAGCGCTATTAGTGCCGTTAGGTGCTGGCTAGTGCTATTAGTGCTCAACACTAATCATCTGAGCTAAAGCTCTCTTTTTAAAGTGGATCACAAGCAACATCTCATCCAAGTAGCTGAACACAATGGTCTGCCTCCTTTATCAGTGTTGTAGGAAAGACTGATTTATCTATTTGCTTTCAAGATTTTATACAGATCTGAAAAAAAATCATTCAGGCCCTCAGCTTCTGTAAATTGGCTCATCCTCACAGTAGTAAAAAGTGTTGTTCATTTATCCTTCAACTGCATTTCCGGAAAACTTATTTTTACTGGTTCAATTTAAAGTGTCAAAAAATGAAATCCAGCTAAACTGTTTTTTGTGTACAACTAGAAAGTTTGCTTTTCATAGGTGGCAAGTATAATAATCCTTTCTTAATCTCTAATTTTATAATTACCTTTCCTTTCTTCCTGCAAACACTACTCTGGATGTGACTATAAAATGGATATATGTTATGGTTGGTGTGTAGAGCTGCAAGCAGAGGCTAGTGGCTTCCCAATGCGTAATAATAGCCGTGTGCCTGCTTGGTTTATGCAAGTGCTTGTGAGTGTGCCAGGAGCTGAGGCTGACGCGCGAGACTGACAGGAACACGCTCTGCCTGGATGTCACATGCCAGTCAATTGAAGATTTCATTTACGTATCCCTTTGCCCTTTTCACATAAGGAATTAACTCAAGAATGTGATGAAAAAAAAGTCCAGTACGACAGTTGTGCAGCGGGGTTAGAAAGCAATCGCTCTACACTGGAACAGGTAAAGTGGCGACCTGCTCACGTAAGCTAATAAAAACTCTGCAACAAGTTATTTGTTATGGTATAGTCTCTTTTTTGCCTTCCTTCTGGATATGGGGAAGTCCAAATTCACTTCAGGTGCAAATGCGTCTGTGGTGATCCATAACTATGCAAATGAATGTGCCTAAAGCTGCTTTACACTTGCTGCAGTCCCATGTGTCTTGTGTTTCAATAGCAACAGGCAAACACGGTGGTGCATACAGTGCGTCCTAGGGAGTCTGGCTTTGCTTAGTGAGAATATTGTGAAAGATGATACATCTGCAAGAAACCTTGCTGATCTGCATAGGATCTGCTAGGAAACAATTTGACAATAAAATGTTAAGGACATTAACATTTGTTAAGGACATTAACATTAACATATCAAGACAAGAAAATTTATTAAGAGTTATTAAATTAACAACTCCAATTTAACCAATACCTAATACACTAAAATTGATGGCAAAGATGCTTCATTCAATATGACTGTCTTGCATTCTTGAACATTTCAACAAAAATGCAGTAGTTTTTTAAAAAATGCAAACATGTGAGGCTTACCTATGTGTGATTTAGGTATTGCTTTTGGGAAGGGATGTGCCTAAGCCAGTGCAATCCTCTAATGTGGGTACAGACATTACTACTAGTATATTTGTATGAATTTGCTTTGGTTGTGTAGATAACTTTCTGTGAATTTTGACTGGACTTGATTTTCAAGGACTTGGACACATACACAGTATATTTCAAAATAAAAAGGGTATACATTTAAAGTGCAGGCGGATATACAACTATTTGTTCTCTGCAATAAAAGTTCTTTGTATGGCCATGTGAGATAAAAGAATCCACAGAGAAAGGTAGTATTAAGTGAACCGTCCATAAGAACTACTCTGCAATAGCTACTCGAGGCTTTTTCCTTACTAGACAAAACTTAATCACATTCTAACCCATCATGACTAGTGAGTCCACAGAGTAAGCTGCACTTGACCGTCAGCAACCACAGAATTCATTTTTTTTAGCTGATGGTCTGAAGGTCACATGGTGACACAGCTTTGAAGTTGACAACTTCAAATACCTGGAGTATTTAAATTCCATTTGGATTATCACTTGTCTTGGTATAAACCGTTTAGAATGGGAAAACCTGAAGGGAAACACTAATCCACACATTTCACAGATGTGTTCCAGGAAATGCTTATTCACAGTTGTATTTAGCATCTTAAGATGTGCTTAGAAACGAGAGTCATTGATCAGCATTTGTGAAATGTCTGTTAGAAGTTAACATCATATTAGTAAATGCCTATTAACAATCAAACTGCAAATTAAAATTGAACATCCTTTTCATTTATTACTTTTAAAGAGCCTACTGTAAAGCCCAAAGTGTATGAACATTTAAGAAGTGATTAGTTCAGAATTATGCTTGTTGTTGCTGTGGACTCTGATGGTTTAATCGTAACTAAAGGTGTCTACTGTACACCTTCGGTTACGATGTCCGTTAACATATTATCACTCTACTGCAGGAAGTGAAAGGACTTCTTGAGGAGTGTATTCAGGAGGAAAGCAACTACCGATACATTAACTGCATGAAGAGGGTAAGATCAAAAAAGAAACCAAATTGGTTTTGGTGAAATCAAATAGGAGTTGTAGAACATGCTTCTAAAACATTTCTGTATTTCTTTACAGAATATAGAAGTACAGCTACAGCGTGCTAAAGAAGAAATGAAAACATACGTTTCCCCAGATCCACAGGAGAGACGAAAAGCAATTCGGTAAATATATTAGCATGTTTCATTTGTGTGAACTCAAAGGATTTTCATAAACTGAGACTGAAGTTAAGAATTTTCTCACTGGCATTTGAACTGAAGGAGTTCACCTGATATATTTAGAAACACTATAATAATCTAAAAATAAGCATCTTGAATCCCGGCATGTACTGCTGTAAATCTAAGAGTTCTCTCAGACATACCAAAAGATTTTCCCTTCCTGCTGGAGATTATGGGCCCCCGATAGTGGCTGTTAACTTGCAGCCCCTGTTGGCACGGGCTCAGTGCAGCCGTGCTGCTGCTGGGCCCTGCCAGAAACGTGGCTCTGCCCCACGTGGTGACAGAGCCAGGTGTCCCCAAGACTTCAGCATGCAGCAGGAGGAGGTCTGCACCTCTCAGGGGAACAACCATATGCTGTCCCCAGATTTGGGGCATTTTATTTGCAAATCTTGCAGTGTTCTTTTAGGTATAATAGCTATCACATTGGTGGTGCAGGAATAGAGGACTGCATATTCTTATCCTAAATTGATTTTGCTTTGCTTTTCTTACTGGACATAGAATGAACACTATCCTGCACCTTCCCACTAACCCTCAACTTTACACATAGTTTAATAGGCTTGATTTAATAAGGTCACTTGCTTCAGCCTGTGATTTTTTTTTTTTTAAGGACCTCATATCTTTATAATGGTAGGAAGGGAAGCCTAAAAGGTTATGATCTGGTGAACATATTTTCCATTTTAAATTTTCCATTTTAAATAATACAGTTCTGTCAAAGATTGAAATAGTTTCTGAGAAGGGCATTTTTTTTAGTTTGATTTAATTTTGTTTATTCTCCACAGAGTGAACCATTTTTAAATCAGTGCTGACAGGGCATCAGCTTTGTCTTGTACCTCACCACCTCACTACAGGCTGCATCCATGAGCATTCCTACAGTTTGCTGTATTGCTGGGACTGTAAAAAGCCATAGCAATATAGGTCTTGGATGTCAAGCCTCTTAGATTTCTGTGTTTATATTTCAGAGACATGACAGGCTGTTGCTTGAGATCTTTATGATCTGTCACGTCACAGCTATGGTTCATGTACAGTCTTCTGTGCAAGTTGCCAAAATGCTTCACAAAACTGTCCCCTTCATAAAACCCAATTTTAAAATGTGATTGAGTGGCAAAGCAAAGACAGAACTGCTTAATTAGTGAAATAATAAGCTGTCTACATTTCATTTTAAAACTTCAGACCATCTAGCTGCTGAAGTAGCATCAGAAAAAGAGAGCCAGTAGTTGTCTATCACTTCTCAAAGAAAATGGAAGAAAATTCATTTCCCAGGATACCCATCCTTTTAGACTCTCTGCCTTTGGCAATATCTTTTTGTTGCAGCAGTGGTGACTATGGAAGCAACAGTTAGTTGGTAGCAAACATAGTCAAGTGTCATTCAGTACCACCTGAGGCAATTTCTTCTCTCACCGAGGAGTAAAAAAACACCATTAGGATTGACCGCTTTTGACTGGAGAATAAGAAGCTTCTTTCTCCATCTCACAAAATAATGGAAGGCTGAAGGATATAGAAGATTTATCTAAAAATGAAGCAGAAATGAAGCAAAAGGGTAGAAAGAAAAGCGGAAAAAATGTTGAGAAAAATCATATTGATGATGTGAATGTTCACTAGTATGAAAGGCAGCAGCGCTCCGCCAAGCAGCCCAGAGGAGGTGCGGGTCACCCAGCAGGCACCAACCTTTTATGGCCTTGCAGGGAAGGGGAGGGTTGAGTTTATACACAGATGCTAAGCAAAAATTTCTACAGCTCAAGTACTTGTGAAGGCCCAGGCAAGCTATCAAAGATCATATTGATGATGTGAATGTTCACTAGTATGAAAGGCAGCAGCGCTCCGCCAAGCAGCCCAGAGGAGGTGCGGGTCACCCAGCAGGCACCAACCTTTTATGGCCTTGCAGGGAAGGGGAGGGTTGAGTTTATACACAGATGCTAAGCAAAAATTTCCACAGCTCAAGTACTTGTGAAGGCCCAGGCAAGATATCAAAGGCAAATGCTGGAATTAAAGTGCGAGTCCAGCTGTGGAATTCCAGGTCTGAGGAGGAGAATGTGAATGGAGCATTCCCGCTTTCTCCTTGGTCCCTGCCTCACTTCCTATCTGTGAGCACAGAGAGAGAGAACCAAATTCTCTCTCTATGACCATGCACATTTTGGCCTTCTCTCACAGAACAGTCATATTTAAATGAATTACAACCAAGTTCAACATCCAGAGCTTTACACAACGTGAAATGAGGAGATAAAATGTATTTCTAGACATCCTTTTAGAATGTGTATGTAATTTTCAGCAGGCATTGGAATGTAAACGGAGCCAAAATGAGCCATAAATAGAACAGCACTTTCCTAGTAACGTATTGAACAAAAAATGTCTGAATTCTGACCCTCTTTATTGAACATAAACTTTCTGTTCCGTGCAGTCATTTCTTAGGAATGTGAAAAGTTAATTTTGTTCTCTAAAAACAGAAAGTGTTCTCCTTTCCTTTTTTTTTTTTTAAAAAAAAAAGTTATTAAGTTGCGTTCATTTCAGTCATAAATAGTAAAGAAAACCTTACCAAGAAAGATATCTAATTTCTGATGTTTATTGTGAAAACTGTACTCAGGGAAAATAAAGAGTTCTTGAGGCCAAATGTTTGTGAACATTTACAGTGTGCCGGGGGAAATGCAAAGACACAGGGTGGTGGCTTTGCAGCTCTCGGGCTTGGTGAGGGCTGCTAGGGACCCGCTGCACCTGCACCACACTTGGAGCAGCCTCACGACTGCTCTGCTCTGGCTGACAGGAAAGTTCCAAGATTCTCCAAGATTTCCATGATAGCCCAATGCAGGACACCCCTGCACTGCTCTACTGGAGGAGCCAGCAGAAGTGGGAGAAATACTAGAAGTTCTGTTTTTCGCTCACAATCAAACTCTCAGCCTCTAAGTCTACCTGTTGCACACAAAATATAATGCTTGATTTCATAAAAGAGAATCAGTGAAGATTTTTTTTGATATCACATTTACAGCAAAAATATCTGTAGAAATATATCTCAATTTTGTTGTTACGATTTGCATATTATATTGCAGGCTTCGCGTACTGAGTTTAGATATGTCAGAAGGTAATCCCTCCACTTGTTGCAGACAAGTGTAAAGCCAAGATTTTTAATAATGAATGTCAACAGTTATGCTTCTAAGTCTATATTTAGGCACCCAAATGTGAAGCCTGGATTTCGAAAGTGCTGAATGCAGAACGGTTGCAGTGCAGTAACTGGGTTTGTCAAAGCTGCAGTGAAATGCTGCTCCCTTTCATTCTTGTGTTTTCCCACTCATTCTAATGCTACTTTCGTAGCCATCGGGGCTGTGGATTTGTATACTCTGACATTTGTACCAATCCATGGTACTGGTTAACCTCAGAATATCATCAGTATAAATGCATTATTAAAAAGGGATCACATATGTCTTGCCTAAATGGTCTTGCTGTCACTTTCAATCTGGTAGCAGCAGTAATCATGCTTGCTTTGAAAAATGTAAGATATTCCATGCAGTAATACTTCAGCTCACTGCACAACTGAGCGAATCGAGGATATCTGATCCCTGATGTCCAGCACCGTGTTGTCCTGTAACAAAAAAAGCTTTTCCATTCTTTCTCCTCTGACTGTCCCATTTAGGAACCTCCCTTTCTTAATTTTCCAGATTTGCATCATTACTTTTTCCAATTGTTTAGAAACAATTAAAATCATAACAAAAAGATGTTGTATATTTCTTTTAGAGAACAGTATACGCGAATGATCCTTGAGCAAGAAAACCTTGGGAAGGTAAGAAAGACGTTTTTACCTCGTAAAAGCATTGTACAGTTCAATTATTTGTGGGGTTTATTACAGAATGCTGTGGTCACTCTTATAAAAAGCATATTGCCGTCCACAAAGAAAATTCCATTACTGCTGGCATTGGTAACTAATACCCTGAAAAGAGATCATGCTAGCTCTTCAGGGCTTGATTTCCTACAGAGTGTAGCATGAGCTGCTTGTAAAGGAGAGTCAAACAGCTCAACATGACAGCACATTCCCTGTAAACCATTTGGATAAGACAGTGAAACATGGATATAACAAACAGCGCCAGCTCAAATTTTAAGTTGTATATAAAGCAACCTGCTGAAGACAATAAATCTGCAACCTGTCAGCCCTATCACTGTTATTAAAGGCCAGAGGATCATCAATGCGGTGGTGTTGAACAAAAGCAGTTGTTCTTTTTTAATCTTGCATGAATCTCAAATCAGAGGGAGGAGGTTAGCCTTACTAATTCACGCTAAACATCTTTCTTTTATTAATTTCCTTTTGGTGAGTCGATCTATGAGTATTTTTTTACACATTTGGGCAGCCACTGTTAATGATTAATAGGGGGTTACATAATAAAAAAATATTTCGTGTTTATATTATGATGATGTGAATCCATTGTAGGTTGTAACCTGACACTGTAAGAGCTCCGTGTGACCGTCAACTCACATTTTTAGCATAACTTCCCAAATAGATGAGATTATTATTTAGAGAGTTGTAAAACATTGGAGTAATTGTCAATCCACACAAAACACATGTGTAAGACACAGATGCTATTGCACTTATCACTTGCAAAGTGTGTTAATAGCTTAAACCAAAGGTAGTAACATTTCAGTAGGAAATAAAAATTATTCCCATTCCTAGCTGCCTATGTAAGAAACTTTTCTGGTGTAAAATTGTTCCAGAAATCTTTTTTTTTTTTTTTTTTTTTCTAACAGAAATTACGAGAGAAGCAGAAAGTTGTACGAGAAAGTCACGGGCCAAATATGAAGCAAGTTAAAATGTGGCAGGATTTTGAGCAGTTAATGGAATGTAAGAGTGAATGTTTTCTAAAACAACAAAATCAAACAGCCATTGGTCAAGTCATTCAGGAAGGAGGAAAAGATAGGCTTGTGCTATGAATTCTTCTGTCTTTATACCAACATAAAGCAGGAAAACAGTGTGTTGGTTTCTTTAAGGTAATCTTAGATTAAATATTGTTGCTATCATTATTTCTGTATAAATTTTTTGCAAGTTATTTGGTTTTAGTCCATAAACAGAGTGAAACTAACCACCGTACGGAGCTTTTCCTCTGTTGTTTAAGTGACAACATAACTCGGTTTGGAAGATCTGTTATGAGATCTGCACTAGGGTGAACCTTGTCATAAATCTTTGCTTTATGAGGCTGGGAATGGCATGCATGTGCAGCAAGATCAAAGGGAAAGAAATCCTTTTGCAGGGTCACAGAAAACTTACGTAATTGCCCAGCTCCTTATTCTGAATCACTAAGGTTACATTTTTGCAACGCCTGGGCCTGGATATTGTATAGTTGTGGCACCTCCTGGCTTGGCAGCCGCCTTCCCTATTGTCTTTATTCACCCAGTGTGACTGGCAAGAATGGAGCCGTTCTTGCCCAGAGCTGCACAGCCCTGACCTGCGCGCTCCTCGTCAGACTTTCCTTGCACGGTCCAATTAAAGTGATTGTGCTTGCAGGAGACACTCCGTGGTGCAGCGTCAGGAGAAGGATCTGAGAACAATTACTTGGATTCTGAGCTTTTTCCATTATCTTTTGTTGTTTTTAACAGATGTGCTCTTCTTACACATTCACCTTTTTCTGATTTCTCTTGGTTACCCATGTGAAAGCATAAACTGTCATCCATTAAAGGCTTTCCTTAGGGAGGATATTTTGTGCCGTTTAGTCAGTGTGATTCCAAAGTGACTGCAGTTGCCCAAAGAGGAACATCCCAGGGATGGAGGGTCACTGATGGTGCAGATGTGGCCCCGTGGTTCTTGCCTGTTTCATGTATGCAGAACAGATAGATACCCAAGGCTGCCCTGTGCTCGCACTTTGGCCTGGGAGCCACCAGCAACTTTCACTTTGCCCTAAAAATTGCATCATGAGACCCAAAGCTGACCCAGGAGAAGAGGAATGCGGATGAGGCTTGAAACTGTCTCTCACGCTTCATCATTCCTGATGAGCACCTCTTAGCCACAGTCAAAGATCAGAAGCAGAGAGATAAGTCTGGGAGGCCAAAATTCTTGCTACTCTTCTTTACTCCCTTGGCTAATTGAATTTCTGTTTTTTTTCCTTCTGTTTTCCTGCCTTAAGTAGAATGGACTTCACTGATAGTGCTTTAAAATGTAATTTGAACATGAAATATGAGTTGGTTTTCTCTGGTACCTGAGATCTTTCACTGTTCTCTTTATCAAGAGAAAATTTGGGAGTTGCAAAACTCCATTTTTGTCTTTGCTTTATATATACTTGTTAACAGAACTAAAATAAAATCTGATGACTACATTTTGACTGTATTTTTTTTACAGTTCAGAGGTAAGAGAAGTAATAGAAGATAAATTATTAGTGGCAAGCGCTTAGCTGGGCCACAGGAGAAAGACTTTTGAAAAAACTCGGGGTCATTCAATGGAATTTCTCTCAGATGCTCCCAGAGGGTTCAACACGCCAGCGTATGCCTGAGGAGTGGGTCCCGGCTCCGTGGATTCCCAGGGCATCCTCGTGTAAGCCCTCCCACACCACGGGACAGCTGAAGATGGTCTTTCTGGACAGCTGCGTTCTAATCTTTCCCAGGACAAGGAGAAGCAGCAAATTTTCCCCTACGCAGATTTTCCGTGAGTGCGGCGGGAAGGCGGTTGCGTAGGACAGGGGCTCGGCTCGGGGTATTCGGAGCGGGGAAGCCTGTTGCGTTACCACCGCCCGCAGCTTCCCCCGTTCGATTACGCTGCAGTGGCCGTTGAGCTGAAAAAGTGTATGGGAGTTACATACCTGGCTTTTGCAGGAAGGTTTTACTGAATACTTGTCAACAACAGTAAAATAACACGGTCATCTGCATGTGCCGAGGGAGAGCGTGGCCTCATCACCAGAAATGGGCATTTAGACTCAGTGCAGAGGGATCACCTGTGGTCCAAAGCCATCAGGAGGGGTGAGAAGAGCAGGATTTATACAGTCAAGCCAAAACTTTCAGCAAAACCCTAAAATCCCCATTCGACTAGGCTGTATGTGCAAAGATTTATTCCATGGATTAGCCTGCTGTCCAGGAATAAGAGATGCTTTTGAAATTCTCAGTAATGTTGTAGAGTAAGATTGAGTATAATCATTTTCTGTTTTCCTGTTGAGTTACCCTAAAAATAGTTTGTCTTTCTTGCTTGTAAAAACAATTTATTGCTAGTTACTCAAAGATGACGTGATTGTTGTTCTGATCTTAGTACTCCATCATTCGTACTGCACCGAGAAAGGGCACACAGATTATACAGTACAGCAGCATCAAAATGACTTTCTGCAATGAAGCAGAAAATCATAATAACTGTTATGAAAAGAAAATTGGAAAACTCAAAGGCTATTTTTAGATTTTATGTAAGTGGACGTGTAATAATGCAACTTTAATGGATTCTGTTCACTGGCTTTTCCACCCAGTTATAGATTTGATGGGAGCATTCAAAAATTTTTGACTCCCCTTGGCAGTTATTTCTTTACCTAACTCGCAACAAAATAGCTCGCTTTTTATTCTTTTGCTTTGTTATTTTTGATAGTTAAGATGGTTAATTAATAAGATTAAACATGCCATGTGGAAAATGCCTGTCTGTGGAAAATGCCTTTGGAAGGTTCAAAACGCGTCGCTAGAGCTGGGGCCACAGCACTTAACCAGTTTGCTTCCAGACGGAGCAGGGATCCTGGCTGGCGCTCGGGACGGCAGCTCGCCTTCTTTCCAAAGGCTGCTCCTTATCTTTGCCCGGAGTTGGGTGAGGAAATACCTCAGCTGTAAGATGTGGCTGGCAGGGCCGGGGCCTCTGCTAAATTCACATCTCCCCACAACTCTTGCAGCTGCCCACCAGTTCCTTCTGCGTTCAGTAACTGCTGTAGCATTCCCAGCTTTGTGCTGTTCAGCCATGTTGACCTCAGCCGTCCCTCGCAGAGGTGCAAGAAAGAGAGAAAATCAGCTCCTGGCCTCAGAAATGGGCATGAGAAAACAGAGCAGCTATCTTGTTATATGACCAGTCATTTGATCATCTGGATAGCAGATCGCACTGTTTCTATTAGCAGTTCTATTTTACTCCCATTTGAACTATAATACATAAATGTTCTTACATTTCCTCAGGTGACCTAGATGTAGTTATAGATATACTACTTATGCATATATCTTTACTCCCATGAATATTACTGTTGATGAGGTCACATGCATATGGTTGTCCACAAGCATAAATGTTTGACCCTGCTGTTTTATGTTTAAATATACTCTGATTTCCAGAGATTTTTTTTTAGCAACTCATTTCTGTTGCTTTGGTGCTGAACATTATTATAAAACCCAGCACAGCAAAAGTATTTAGCAACAGTTTATTGCCTAAAAAATGTCCTTACAACGAAGATGTCCTGAGTAATGAGATGGGATAGCAGAGCACCCAAAAAGCAATGGAGAAATTGTTCTCTAAATGACTGGCTGCTTCAGGGACTGGAGGTAGAGTACAGAGCTTTTCCTCCTTACGTCGCTATTCCACGTCTGACCCAGTTCATTGGTTGCAGAAAGTTCATTAGTAACTACCTGGTGGCTCTTCTCAGCCCAGGATCTCTGTGCAGTGATTCGGCAGTGTCGGTCCCGTCCCCACATCACCCTGCACGGCAGAATTTGGCAGCTTGCACCTGAAAGCCGACGGGTGACCAAAAAGACCAGGAGCGCCGACCGCTGCCACCCGACAGTGTCACCTTGGAGGGAGGTTGTGACACACGGGCACAGCAGAGTTTGGGAAACTTACCCCGACGTCTCTGCTGTGCGTGGAGCGGAGCCTGCGGATCTGCGTTCGCTCCTCAGCCCTGCGTTTGCTCAGATATAAGTTAGGAAAAACGGGACACGTTTCCATCCCGCTCCGCGCTGCAGCGAGGAAGTACTGTGTGAATCTGCGTCTTATCACGTGCTACCACCTGCCTTGGGTGGTCGTCATTGTTTTAACGATCACAATTTGACCTCTTTTCAGCCTGTTTAAAGGGTTCTTTAAATTCTTGACAGGAATTTAAAATGGGTTCTCTAAATTTGCCATGTCTCTCTCTCTGTTGCTATCAGTTCTGCAGAAGCAGTCTTCAAACTCCCAAGGCAGTCCATTTTTATCCAAGGTCACTGGGTGAGAAGGGGCTTTTTCATAATTGCATTACACGGATTTGGATGATTCCAGGTTCCAGAGGAAAACGCTGGGAGGCACCGGGCCATGGCAGGACCAAACTCGGTGAGAAGCAGCAGGGCTCGAGGAGGGGGAACAAACTTCTTCCAAATCACCTGCGAGACAAACCAAGCAGCCCTCCTGCTGCCAAAACCCGCACTGACTTCAGTGGGAGTTTTGCCAAAATAAGGTCTGCTGGATTTAGCTCTGTATTATTTCTCCTGACAGAACAGCAGCAATTAAAGGCATAGTATTAGATTTATAGCAAGAATATTTTTTAATAAAAGAAATATCTGTATCTAAAATAACAATTTTCATTCAGTATGAATTAACGTTCCATTTGAAACAGAGCAAAAAATATTCTTTTTTGCTATAAAAATAGAAATTTCTCAGCACAAACAATCAAAATACACAAGTAGTTAGCAATATAGATTTAGTTTTATTAGACATCTATGAGAGGCTGTCTTGCACAAATATAGCACTAGGGTATTGATAGTGTTTATCTTTAAAATAAAATTATACGCACTGCCGTGTGTTTAACGACATTAGTTGTAGTTATTATTTAAAAAAAAATTTTTTTTCTTTCTTTTGTATTTCTATTCCTCATGGTTTTGGAAAAAAAATTGTTTTACACAGTAGGATAAAACAGAACCAGTATTTCCTGAATGGGCTGGAATTAGTGTCCTTTTCTTGCAGGCAGACCTACATGTGTCAATGTCTACATACACTGTTTCAGTTACATCTGACAGTACTGAAAAACGTTTCATTTTTAAGCTTCTAAACTTTGTTGCAAGTGTTCGTATTTTAAAAGCACTCATTTATGCAATACGTAGTTCATTAGGTCTACTTATAGGATAAAGCCAAATCCTGCACATTTTGCTAATATCAGGAAAAAATGCAGTTGATAGGAGAATGGAAAGTGGGA